AGAACCAGTGATTTATGTTTTTACATGTTATTTAATAGTTCAACTGGTTAGTTTTATAAGACAAATATTGTCTAAAATCAGGATTGAATTTCACTAATTCTTAAAAATCGATTTTTGTTCACCATGTATGTATTGACGATTTAACTTTCTTTTTTTCCTTGTTTTGGGAAACAGTTGACTTAGCTACTACTTAAGGTTCCACGAGCTTCTAAAACGTTCTGGAATTCTCATCATCAGAGATAATGGACATGCCTGAGAAGGATAACAAGCTAAGTGCCTATTAATATATGGGGAAGGATTTCTTTATAACGTTTCTCACTTAACAGAGAACAGTTTAAATGGGAAGAGATACAGAAAAGGTACCTTTTGATAGCTGGGAAGCAAATCAACAATGATTCCTAACTCCTGAGGTAGGTAGAGCCAGAGGAACACAGATTAAAGAATACTGTTTAAGAGTCCAGGCCTTAGAGTCCTTCAGATTAGGTGTGTGTCCTAGTTATAGCATTTACTGCATTACTTAAGGGTCTTAGCCTGCTTCTTTTCCTGCAAATGAATAAAAATAGTATCCATCCCACAGAGTGGTTGTAAACAAACACTGAGCTGTGTGTAAAGTGCTAGCATAGTGCCATGAACACAATAAATTGTTGTTCTTAGGTTAATGGGGAAGGGAGAGTCCTCTGAGAAGAAATGGAGAAAATAGTTGATTTTGCTTACTTCACAATTTAACCCAGTGATAATTTTGTCTGCCTTTTGTTTCTACCGCTGTTGCCTTTTCTAATGCTCTGCTAAGTAAATTCTTGAAAAAAAATTTATTTGAAAGTTCTCTGGTATCATAATCATAATATTTTCATTCTATTTCCACAGCAGGAGAGAGAGGCTCCTTTCCTATCCCCACTTCGGATAAAAACACCTTCTTTGGGGGAAAAACATGTTATTAGTAGGTTAGGGACTAAACTCTGCAATAATATTAGTCTGCAAAAAAAAAAAAAACACTTGAAAAATCCATACAATAGAAAGTGGTGAGGAACTTTCTAAATCCAAAAAAGGTTCAAGGTTATGAAGTAAGAAAATTGTACCAAAAGCTTAAACATAAACGCAGTTGCAAAGAAACAATTCCCAACTCACTGTGGTCTGGCTTTCTTTTCACTGACTCTTTTTTGCTTAGCGAACACGAAAACGGGTACCAAGCAGGTGTCAGAAGGCACAACCAATTTTTTTATCAGATTTCTATGCCTTTTGCGGAGGAGAAAAAAAAACAGAGCAAATGCCTGAGGGCTTCTGGGAGCTCTACAGCTTTCCCGCCTAAAACATGAGGGGGCGGGGCCCGAGGCTGGGACGTGGCGAGTTGCCTCCCTTACTCCTCCCCCCGCCTTTTCTCCGTGCCCCTCCCATACCCATTTCGCCACGATCCCGACAAGCCCAGCGGCTAGGAGAGTCACGTGAGGGTGGGCGGGGGAGGTGGAAGCTTGTCTCTGCTGCCTCTTCGTTTCTATGGTAGTCAGAAGTGGGCGGCTTTGACCTAGGAGCTGGTGGAGCTGGAACGTGGACGGGTGAGTCTTGGACTGTGAAGGGTGTGAGGAGACAGCGATTTAGGGAAGGCGAAGGGGAAGGCGGTGGCGAAATAGTTTTAGGGACCTGGGCTCCGAGGCAGCTGTTTGTCAGCCCCAGGGATCCGGCGACTTGTCAGGTCTGGTGGGATGCCTTACTTTCCCTGACGCGCTCAGCTCCTGGTGCTGAGAGGAGTCCTTAGTCCTGCTTGCTCCCCATCCTCCGCTTTCCTTCGCCTCATCACGTCCCTTCTCCCTGTCCCAGGAGAACTTCTCCCAGTACCGGTTTCCCAACTTGGGCGCCGACGTTTCGCTCCTCGCGAGCGACCGGGAGACACAAGTAGCTTTGATTGGCTCTCCTGGAATTTGTGGATGTGGTTGGAAGTAGGTGGGGGAGTTTACAGATGGATTTCTGATAGGGAGAAATATTAGTCACCTAATCGAAAAAAGAAGTGGAAAATCAAAGGAGCAATACAAAGTGCAGCCTTCTCGAATGGTTCAGTTTTTGTCTTTTCCAGCACCTTCCCGTTCTCATCCTCCCTCTCAAGTTTCCTTCTCTCCATCCCATCCTGGCCCACCATGTGATGTTTTGAGAAAGAGCCAGATATTACTGACCTATGTGAATAGGAGGAGAGTTTAGACCGGATGGTTCTTTAGGTTGCTATCTGTGTAATTTTGTGGTTTATGGTTTCTTTACCTTCCGTTTTAGATGCCTAAAAAATATTGTGGGTATTAGTAAATATAAGTAGAATCAATATTTTATAGCTAAGGGACTACGGTAAAGTATTTTATTCTCCCTGTGGTACTTTGGAAAGACCCATTTTCTTCCTGTTCTTTATACATATGTCTATCACATTTTTTGGTGGCTTCTTTAATATACCTTCATTTGTGTTAAAGCATCCCTTTGGGTTATGAGCGGAAGTGATCTAGCAATATAAGAAAGGCATTTGCAGATAAGGTGAGAAAAGTTTGGAGTTGATAGCTTAGGAGAGTTTAGGTTTTATTAAACCGCACATCAAATTAAAAAAAAATCAGCATCTTGAGGCAAAGGTGTTGGTCAGGATGACCAACCCGCTGTCTTTCTGGTGTGAACAAGGTAATGAGCTTGTTGAATATTGCCTAATCCTAAAAACTTTAGGACTTACTGCCACTTGCTGTGAGAAGGTGGCTCTGGCCTTTAGCTGCTGCTCTTTGTTCCTATCCTTGATAGGTCCCTGATGATCTCTTCCACTTAAGAACATCACTCTGGCTACTTAATTATATCAAGAAAGTATTGACAATCAGAAGAGACCACCAAAAAAAAAGAAAAAGAAAAAAGTCACAGACATCTTCTAAGTGTCCTTACTAAGGATCATAAAACACAAAATAATAATAATAAAAAGTGAAGATGCAGGAGTGGCTTGTGTGCTTGGGGGGAAAGAGTGATAGAAACTATAAAATAAAAACAAGAGAACAAAAACGTTTATTGCTGTCTTCCTTTATAGAGTATTTGCTATATTTAGTAGATGCTTTACATTCCTAGGGGGTGCATCTTGAGACTGACTTTCCTGTATTTAAGAATAAAACAGTGGTTCACAATTTCTTCCATAATGCAATATTATGTAAAATAATTATAACTGAAATATTTAACTGATCAATTCCTTCAGATCATACATTATTCAGAATTGTAGCACTAACATAATTGATAAAGCTTTTTTAAATCTAATTTTGCCACTTTTAATCTTTACAGTACCTCTCGAACAATTTTTGCAATGGCTGTAGCATTTGCTCAACATTAACCATTTTTTTCCATGTAGAGTTTTGAGTATATCCCTTTTATATCCCTTTTTAAATGAGAAAAAATTTTTTAAAAACTTTTTTCCCCCCACCCATACTTTCAAAGTGAAAATAGCTTTATTTTGTGCCAGGGGAAAAAGGTGATAGATATTCTATTCTCTTTGGTAAATTATGATAAAATTGTTAATGCTTTTAAGACATTAAATGTGAATATCTGAGTATATTTGAGAAGAAAACCCAGGGATAGTATTTTTAAATGTTTTAAATTTACTATTATAAATGTAATATGTGCTTATTTTTGAAAAATGGAAACATTATAGAAAATATAACATTGAAAGTCAAAATCCTAATTTATCTTTTCCAGTACTACGAAGTAATCCTAGATCCCTTTGCATATTTGGGTATCAATGTGGAAACGCAGTTAAGACTTTGGAGTTAGACTCTCTGGGAAAGATGGTAGTAATAGTACCAGGCCTACATCCTACAACCTCAGAAACCCAAGAAGAAAGAGAACTTCTCTTTCTCTACTGTTTTAGCAAACTATGGTAGTCTCCTTGGCCTGACTAGGTCTTTGCCCATTCTAGAGACAGTCCTTGTGACCAGAGTGATGGAATGCTTTATGTGGGCAGGCTTGGATTTTCTTCCCACCCTGAAGTGGAGTGGTGGGAGATGTGGCTTCAAACCACTTGAATTAAGGATGGGTGACAGTTTCTAAAGGAAAATTGAGGTGTTACTTCCTGGAGAAGGGAGAATGGTTGCTTGACAGGCAAAAACAACAGATGTTCACTAAAATAATTTTGATGTGTTTGGTTTTTTTTGTTAAGGGTATTTGTTTTCCTTTTGCAATATACATTAATTATATTTACAGTTTATGTTGATTTTTTCTTTTTTTTCCTATTTTAATAATTCTTTTTTTCTTTTCTCCACCACTGCATATGTGTTCAGATTTTTTTCTTTTTTAATGTCTGTTGTTATAGAACTTGAAATGTATACTCTTCCAGTGTGTATATTTGTATTGTAATTACACGTGTAGTACTCTTGCTCTGGAGTATTCAGGTCTTATAACTTTAAATATATTGTGTATTTGGCCAGTTTGTTAAAATTGATTGTTGATATTTTTATTACTGTGAGTAATCTTGATCAATAAATTGCATTTTATAAATAAAATGCAGTTTAGTAAATAAAATGTTTTAAATATTTAAATATATAGTCAATATGATTAAATGCTTGGTTCTTTTCATTATGTTTAAAAATCCATTATTTTTAAAATCACTTCATTTTGAGCATTGTATGTAAAATAAGTCACTATAATTTTCATTAATTGCTGTTACTGGGTGTTAACTTTAAAACTATAGTTAACATTAATGTCTGCTTTATATTTTTATGCATTATTCTGATGGTTCATCATATTTTAAGAGAAAATATAATTGAAGCAGCATATTGTTTACTTCACTGTCTTGTTTTCAATCGAAAGAAATGTCAACAACTCAATTCAATGGATATTTGAACTTTAATTGCTAACATTGGTGGCACAGGCTTTAGTTTAGACAGACATATATATTTTAAAATCCAACTCCTTCACTTCTTAATGTTGAGCAATTTACTTAATCTTTCTGAACTTGAGTTTATTCCATTTGTAAAAAATGGAAATGATAATGCCTGTCTCACAGGAGTCTTGGGAGGATTAAATTAATTAGTATATGTCGAGTTCTTGGGATGTGGTGGGTTCTTAATGTAATTGTTAATAATAACAGCAATAACAAAAGTAATGCCCAAAATGATCTTATTTTCCCAATTTAAGAATGTTTGGCCCAGGGAGTTTAATATATAAAGGTGGCTGAGGAATTAACTAGGTTGTTCTTCCATGTCTTGATTTTAGCAGGTTGTAAAATTCCATATTGCATATATGTCAGTAAACTGGAAGACTTTGTTAAGCTACATAATTATTAGTGGAGTGTCCAAGTATTTGAAAAATGCCTAATCTAAGTATGATAACTTATTAGGCCGGGAGAATATATTGAGAAAGTTTTATGAACACTGAGCTTAGAATAATATTACATGGAAGGTAGCATGATTCTTTACAATACAAGGGGAGCTATGGATTGAGCACCTGGGAAGTTCAAATCAGAATTCATGGTTACTTTTGGTAATAGGCAGAAAAGGTAAAAATGGTTTTATTTTTATTTTTAAGGATAAGTTTAGGGTAATATTCCTGTGAAGAAGTAATGCTTTGAGAATACAATAATAGTAGATACTTGTGGGTAGAAGAGACAACAGTTTAGGATGTTGGTTGAAAAAACAAAAAGGCAACTGTGGAATTAGACAACTATGAGAAGTGATTGATGTTGAATATAATTAATGATCTGACATTGGGAAGTTAAATATTGCCTCATTAGGGGAGAAGTGTTTTAGCCCTGTTTATGAGAAAAGAAATGGCTAGAAGTATATTAATCTTTTTTTCCCCAAACTATTTTTCCCTAAACTAACAGGGTGATCAGTTTTTTGCAAATTGTGAATATTTCCTAGGCTAACTAATATTAAGCTCAAAGTGAGTTTTATTATGAGAAAATTGAAACTTTAGTGTAATCTTTGAGAAAGATATCCTCATCATTCATGTCAAGTATACAAATAATTTCATTTCTCCTCAAAGTGATTTAATGTTGCTCATTTAAAACTTGAAAGTATCTAGTCCAATAACCTTTCTTGTTCAGAGTTGAACAATTACTTGGTGTCTGTTATTAGCACAACTTATAATTTAGATTTTGCTTTTTAAAGTTTGTTAAGTATGGAAATTAAATTAGCAAGCTATTTTTTTCCCCCTTTTTAAAAAATAGACATCAATACTTTGCCTACTGTCCTACTAGGAATGAGTCAGCACTCTTGTAACACGGCACGTAAAGGGTATTAGAATCAAGCTGTAATGTGTCTTTCTTCCCTTCCTATTTCTTTCCCCATGTTTTAGTCACAATGAAATACTTTTTTCTCCCCCTACAAGTCATGTCTTTTTGTGTCTTTATGCCTTTGCAAGGCTGTTTGTTGTACTTAGAATGACTCTCCTGCAGTCCCTGGTCCACAGAGTCCATGCAGCCCCCCTACCCCCCAAAATCTGTGGTCCATGGAAAAATTGTCTTCCATGAAACTGATCCCTGATGCCAAAAAGGTTGGGGATGGCTGCTCTATACCATCCTTCCATCTCCCAACTGTTGAGCTACTGTTCATCTTTTATT